TTACTTTTAGTTTTTAATTGTTTTTGGTCCCGTTGGGCACGTGGTCACGGGCCACTCTGGTAGCCTAGGTGAGAAAAAAATAAAACTTATTGTTCATCCAACCAGTAATACATAAAATCAAACAAACGCTCAGACAAATTATTTATATTGATTGGCGGAGAAAGATCAACACTGCAACATATACTCGATCAAACATTAACTAGTTTAATAAACATTGGACAATCTGCCCAACACTGGTGACTATAAATGGTTGTGCACGACCCCCAGACAGGGTTCCGAACAACCCCAATGCAAAAAAATAAATAAATAATAATAATATTTTATAGAATTGCAATAGTACAAACGACTTTTGGCTAAGGGAAACATTGAAATTCCTAGTGGAATCGGGGCTTAAAAATTAAAACAAAGGACTCATACTAAGGCATTCCCCTTTAAAAACCCCTTAGCAAAGTTTAGTATTTTTTAATCCAATTTATACCCCCCTCCCCACCCTTTGAAAGCCAACTCACAAAAAAAAAAAAGGAGCCTGGATGAGTCCTCTAAATGAGCGCCCCCCCCCCCCCCCCCCCCCCCCCCCCCCCCTCCCCCGGGTACCCCGGATGTCTGACCTACCCAGGCGTCACGTTTAGGTGCCTTGCTGGGCAGGACCAATCTGACATGAAAATCTTCCTAGGTTAATATACAGAAACATTTTATTAAGTGCTATGAAGATTCTTACGCCCGGTCGGGTCTACTCGGCTAAGGCATCCGAGCGTGACTCGAGAGAAGGCTGATACTTGAGGCACCCGAGCTTGCCGTTTATATTTTTTTTTTCGTACTTCCTCAGAGGCCCCTAAATTCGAGTTGTTTTTCTTTCTTTGAAAGTTGGTTGTTAAGAGAGGGGAGAAGGGTTATAAATTACTTTCAAAACAGCTAAACGAGTTTATAGGAGGATGTCTTAACGTGATTCTGTTATCTTACCTTTATCTCTAATTTTGTAATGAATTATGATACAACCCTCTACCAAAAGTCGCTTGCAATTTTACACAACATTTTTTTTCCTTGCATCGGGGCCACATGAAACCTTATCCAAGAGTCACGCCAGTCGGGGCACCCGAGCATGTATCAAGACACAAGTTGAGTGTCTACGCATCCGTAAAAATATTTTTTTTATTTTG